ATTTTACATTATTTGATCTTTTCTAGGTGGAACCAAAGTCCACAACGACGTTTATTTTTCGCTGATTCAATGGCATGCTAACGTAGGAATATTTTCATGATGAAACCACGTATGATATTGGAAAAGAGTTCTAAGTTTATGCCGTTTAATCTGCGTAGTTTCTTAATATTTTTTTACTTAGTTAGTATTCAAGTTTAAGCGCAGCCTTACAGCAATTTTTGAAGCCTTTACAAGCAAAAAAAAATCCTTGACCAATCAAGCCTGCCTCCAGATAGCTTTTAGGGTTAGTAGTATTTACTAGACTTTTTCAGCGTAGTCAGGACAAAGTTTTTGGTTTCGGTCTGAGTCTAAAAATAGCTTTGCATCCTCACTGTATATTTGAAATCCGCTGAGCTAAATGGCAATATATTCGGATGCTGGGATTCAAACAAGTTTTTTAGATGTAATAAACTTGCAGAGGACTTTCATTGTGATCTGTCGCATATTCAGTTGAGTATAGAAACTTCTTTTATTAGCCGTTTCTCCACTTTGTTCTACACTTTCTCTCTCCTTTTACTTGATATCATAAATATTTCAGTTTAGTACACATAATATATTCAAAATATTTAGTAGTTTTAACATTGACAATAACCTCCTTGTCGTAAGTTATATATTATTGGTTTAAAATACAGTGATTATTTACATTATGTACTCATTTATTCCCCTCGTATTTACAGTCATGGCTCAATTTGCACAATTTGCACAATTTTTCATCTAAACCATATAATTAAGCTTTGCACAAGTATTTGCAATTTTAATATACATAATAGCAAAGAAATGCATTGCGTTGTATAAAAGTTAGGCGTTACCAATTTTAATGTAAAATGTAATATAAATAGTATTTTAGGTTTTTACAAAGTAATTGTTTGCTTTGCCTAAATATTTACAAAACTACTTACATATAATGCACAGTTATTTCAAAACAACTGCAAAACAAATTTTTAATCAGCACAGATTTGCAAATAAAATATTCACCAATTTAATTTAGCCGCTTTGGTTGGAACTCTCTGAAAATATTGCTGGGTTTCAACTTTCCCTCTCTGCCTTTCGCTGCCTCGCGCTGCTTAACTTTGTTGTTTTTACTGACAAATTCGAGCTATTTTAAAATAAAGAATTGGAATCAATGCTGACAGCAAAATTACTGAATAAATATCACTAAATTCTAGTTGTTTTACAAATGCGCCTAAAATTATACATCACTAATAAGGAAATGTTTGTTATAGAGAATTATAAAATCTAGTATAGTATATATTGAAACTGTACTTATTTAATAAAAGTTTGCGAATGTATAATGCAATTATATTAAAGCTTAAAGCGAAATTCTGTAAGACTCCCAAATGTAGACAACTTTCAACAAATGTAAGTATGTCATATTTCTAAATTTTCTCGCAATTACACTTTTTATTTCACTTTAGTTTAAATTTTAAATGATTACTGCTCTTGTAGTATTATTTTCGCAAATTCTTGGCAAATTTTCACAGATTTTGCAAAGCATTGCACGAGCACACAGTGCAATAACCGTAAATGCTATTTGTTGTATAACTTTAGGCTTGAATTTTCAGCGCAGTATTACAAAAGCATATTAGAAGAAACCCGCATTAAAAGCTTTAATTTGAAGTGAATCCCAAATGATTTTAATAAGTTAACAAATAATTGACAGCACATGCAACAATATAAACAACAACAAGAAACTGTAAAGTAAATTTAGTGTTCGGAAAACGATTACGTCTCGTTTTCGTTTACACCTGTGCTCATATTGGGTGTTCTGTGTGTGTGGCGTGTCGCTTAGTTGTGCTTGTGGCGTAAAATGCCGCTGTGGGCCACCACTTTTTTATGATGGAGACATTCCTTGTCCTTGGGTTATGTTTCATAATATATGAAGCACTGGATTTCTTTCAAGGATGCCTGCATAGTACGTCACCGAATTCGACCCGATCAAATCGAGGCCTATCGCCGCCAATTGGACGAGCAGCGACAACAGCTGCAGCAAGAGCAATCATAGCGAATTTAACGCCGCTCTTGGGCGCCCAGCTGTTGGCCGCCACCTCCAGCGTTTCGCTGACGCCCGCGATTCCACCGCCAGCATCATAAGTGAACAGTTACGTGCACAACAACAACGCGAACAACTCGACAACAGCTAGAGGGCGTATACGCGGCAGTAGCAGCGGGCGCACCCAGCAACGCCGGCGACAATCGTTGAGTACTCCAGCTTTGCATAGCAGCGGTTTGGCAGCACTTTCGCTCGGCCGCTGGTAGCGGGAGCTTGAGTGTGGCCAGTGGTATAGCAGCGGCGCCGCATTTCGTCCCGCCTATCTAGCGCTTACGAATCGCAAGAATTGTACGCGACTTCATCACTACGCGCGACTACTACTTCCTGCAACAACAACAGCAAAGAATAAGCATTCAGCGCGCTCGCTCTTCTCGAAGTTCGGCGCTTTCAACTCGATAATCGAATTTTCCGAGACCACAGCGGTGCTGGGCGTACTGCGGGCGTGATTATCACAACAGCCAGCGGCGAGTGTGAATCATTTTGAGTGCTTCCGCCAGCGACTGTGCCTGCCTCGCCATTGGCTGTGGACTTGAGCGCGCCATATTGAGTAACAATAACAAAAATAGAAACAGTAATAACAACAAACGTACAACGAACGTAGACGCGCAGCGTGTGCGGTAGAAAGTGTGCTGGTGCATGGTGTAGCGTGATTTGCAGTCCGTCGCGTGATCCGCCAAAATCCTACAGAATAGCTACACAACCACTTCGGTTAAACGTGCAAATCAACGAAATCGTAACGCCAACGCGACCGCTACACATACGACTGCGCACGACAGTGACGGCAGTACATCGGATGTGAATCGGATACGAGCGGTGATTCGTCTGACTCGTCGGCATCCGCCTCGGCCGGTTCGGCGTCGCTCGCCTCGTGCGGTGAGGACAGTGATCCCGGTTTGGGTGAGGAACGCGAGTTCGGTTTGTCCAATTCGTGTTCGTCGTCGCATGCGGACTTTCGGGAAATCGAATGTGAGCGGCTAAGACGCAAGTGTGTGAGTGTAAACGCATCTATAGTATATCGGAGAAGTTTTGAATACCTAAGCAACTGAAATTCAAGTGCAAAAAGTTGGTAACTGTAAGTGTTGAAAAATTTGGAAAAGGTTGAATTGCTTTGCTTTAGTAGTCACAGTAAAAGTAGCAATTGTCAGTTTTAACAAAAAATTTATAAGAAGTATAATGTATATTTGCGCTTTAAAGATATACTTTCATTTCACATTCTATATCGCTTCAGCTCACCTCACTAAGCAGAGTTCTGGTTGTTCACTCATTTTCTCACTCTCTTCTATCAATAAGTATTACTTTGTTTTATATTCTGTGCTTTCACTTATCTTCACTTGTTTCTTTTCCACATTTAATTATATAGTAGAATAGTTGAGATTTATGTAAGTATAGCTTTAAGAAAAATTAGAACCCGAAATATTCGAAAATATTGATGACAAATTCTTAAAGGCTTCGAAAGTTTACTTAGAATTTTCAAGAGCTTTAAGCTAGGGCATAAGTTTTATTAGTCTTGGAAGAAAATTGAACTTTAAATATTTGGTTTGTACTCTATACGGCAGACAATTTCATTTCTTCCAAATCTATGCTTAGCTGTTTTCTTTATTTTTCTTAAGGTCGAGTTCTTAAACTCGAGTTTATGCTCATTTGGCAAGTGCCATTAAACTACTCTTAACAAACATTGTATCATACAAAACATCCTTTAACTTGAATTTAAAAACTTTTGGTGTTTATAAAAATACAACGGTTTATTTGTTAGTAAAATTTAGTCTCGCTATTGAAAATTAAACCTAGAATTTTTGAACCCTACTATGAGAATCTTTGCTTCATTTTACTAAAAATGGAGTTTACCATACGCAAATATATCATTAACAGGCACTAAGCATTATTTTTGTGTTTCTGAAAATTAATCCAGCGTTAAAAATGTTTGGCCTCTCTACTGAAAATTTAATGTCACAAAGAATTAATAATTTACTCATTACACCTATCATTTTGTGCTTTTATAGGTAAACTTCGTTTATAACAAAATCCTATTTTCTTAATAAATAATTACGCTATTTTGACATTTCGATCGTCTTTTTCAGCTAATGCACAACCGGGAATGAAAACTTGATTGTTATATCTAAATATCGTTATTTTCACGTCATCATATCATTTATATTGAATAAGTCATAGAATTTCATGGAATATTTATATTCTAAAATAATAAAAGGCTATAGTGATTGATATACCTGTCCTAGTAATTGGTCACGCCATGTCCTAGTAATTGATCAATTTGCAAACTAGTAATAAATATGGCTCATCATTTTTGCAATTAGTTGCAACAAATTTCGAGAATTCTGGGTATTCAGTAATGTAGTTTAAATTTCGATAAACTATGTATATTTATACTCTTTTCACATATGAGTGGTTTTATTATTTTCGTAGATATTGTCTTGTAATCAGACAAATATTATAAAATTATAATGTGAATGGGAAAAATTTAAATATAATATTGGTAAAAATAATTAGAAATATAATAAAACGTTAAAAATAAATTATAAATTTTCGTTATATTCGAAGCGCGATTCGGGAGCTTTTCACTGGGTATGTCCGAGCATTACAATATATTAAATTACTTATATTGCTCTGGCATTCAACCAGACAAACGCTGCCTGTAGCTCAATGTTTCGAAGCCTGTGAAAGATGAGAGAAAACTTCAATAAGAAAGTGATATTTGTGGGCATAAATTGTCATATTTAAACTTGCTGATCAACACTGACACAAGTTGTCGCTTGAACTGTCGAGTGAATACTAGATGCATTTATTAAAAGACAACAGCTATAATTCATTAGGCATTCTCGTCTGACTGTTTGTTAGAGTTCGAAACACCATTATGTAACTTTACATTATGAGACATTACCATATTCTTTATATATTAATATTGCCAAATAACTTTATTACAAAGACGAAAGCAGATTTAACTACAAAATTACATCCTGAACTCGCCTTTAAGATAATCTTGTTTTTGTGGGAGTAAAGCCTGATATCATATTAAACTCGAAGTATATTAAACTCCTTGATAGAGAACTCTCTAAAGCTGTTCGTTAACACAAAGTGTTGAACTCATGTTTGAGACACAAATCAAGTACTATGTTATTAGAAAATGCTTAGAGAAATGTTTAAGAGTTGGGCGTTTAAACTACTGAGAGCCTTAATAAGAAAAAGCGGGTTAAAGAGATATTCTAATTGAAGGCACCTACGAAACGTTAAAAGGAATGAGAAATAATAGATAAAATATATATAATTATAGAAGTTATAAAATCACTCTAATCACTCAAAATATGAATTTTAAAACAAAAATTAAAAGGGTGTAGTTGTTAGATTTCAAGTACAAATTTTAGTAAAACAAACGAATTCAATGTACATTTAAAGGGCACACCGTAGGACAGCCTAAAGAAGGCGATTTTATGAATTTATAATAAAATCTATGTACATCTTTTGAAATATAAATTGTAAAGAAAACCGTTTTATTTTTCGAGTTACATGCTTGATTTGTGATTTCGGCCTTTTCCGTGGATAAACCTAAAATAAAATTCGCACTGGAAGATATTTTCCGTACAGTGACCTGCGTTCAAAACAAATTCAAAATTTACAAATGATGACGTTTAAAAATTCAAATTTCAGTTTAGAAACTGGTAGTATAATACTTACATATCGTATATGGAAAATATATATAGACAAGCAGTAAAGATAAACTGATTCAACTGCGCGCTTATATTTTGTAGGCTGTAACTCAAAACTATTTGAGACGACGATTTAAAATTTTAGTATGTCATTTTTGAAATATGAAAATATCGAAATATGAAAAATTTACTTATGTGTGCCCTTAATATGAAAATAAGGTAACATTTTCTAACATATATTATTTAATAACATTAACAACAGCAAGGACTTACATAAACTATGTTAATCACAGTGAATTTGAAGTCGTATATTTTCTGGTATTTAATTAAATTTGAATTTTAACTTTGTACAATTAAATTAACATTTGCAGTTCCTCATTGTTGTTAAAGCATTAGGGTAATAACAGTAGTAGACTAATAGTTAATATTTCTGTTGACATAAGAATCGTATTTCCATTATACTGTTCACTGCTTTAAAATGGCTGCCTCTCCAGTGTTACAGTGAGCTGTTAATTAACAGTGAAGTAATTCAAATTATCTGTTATCAGTGTTTAGCAGGAAAATGTAATGCTTTGTATAGAATTGTGGGTATTTTATGTACAAATATAACAATTTTGAGTTTTTGAATTTTGCGATAAAATGTAAACTGTAAGTCCTAAAAGCCATAGACATGTAAGCCTTTATTCATACTTTCATAAACCAAATGAATGGCAACAAAGCTTTAGCTGCGTCGTTACAATTTGTATCTGGTTGTTAAGCTGGGTATTTTGCGAGGCTTTCGTTTTACTAGATCCATAACACACACACCAATACTTACAAACAGCTACAATATTGTGTTACATAGGTTCACTTATTGCTAGCGTTGCTGCTCTGCTGGTGTTACAGCTTTTGTCTGGGTCATTATGGCGCCAGCATGCGGTGTCAAATGGTGACAGTAACAACAGTGGCAACAACAATATCGAAACAACAAAATCACCGCATATACCGAGGCTAAAGCTGAATGTCGGTGAAATGAACAAACGACGCCGACGCCATTTTTCCACGCGCATTGCCACAACAAACACAACAACAGCAATCGATGTTACTTATTTTCGCCACACTTTCATTTTATTTTTATTGCCAACCAGCATAATAAGTTGCTGTCGCCATATTCGGTAGTCGTTGCTAACGTTGCCAGTCACGCTGCCTGCGACTGCTTTGTGTTTAGCGAGCGAACTGGTGGGTAAGAGGGGCTTTGCTGGCTGCTGGAAAATGCAATTTTCTAGTTTGATGCGCAAACAGTGACGGCAGCAAAATACATAGAGCGATGAATGGAATGGGGCGCTGCCTTGATTGGGAAAATGGTGGGCTATATTTTTATTTGTGGATGTATGTGTGGGCGCGTAAACAATAGCAGCGCTGATTACGTGAAAACCGCGGCAAAACTAACGGCAGTACGGTAAAAATGTAAAATGCTGATGGCTGTCACAGCGTGCAACCAGAACGATGGGAAATAAAGAATAATGCTGGAGGAAAATAGTGTAAAAGTGGGTGTGGGGTTAGTGCAAATCAAGAGAAAAGTTGAAAGGCGAACATGCCAAAGAGAAAACAAATATGTAAAAGAAAATATTTTTCATTATTACTTACATAAGTTATTAAAGCTCTATTAAATATTTGATATAAATGCCAGCTAAAATAGAAAAATGCCATAAAAGGTTGAAGAAAATTACCTTACAAAAAAGCAACCCTGCATGCAAAACAGCTACACGTGCCACAATTCTGTAAGATATAAATTTAGTCCATTTTTTATATGCGGCTACTATTTTGCATTCGCTGTTTCAACATTTGCTCCAATCACATTTTCATAAAAGCGTGAAAAATTAGTAATCTTTTGTACATATATTATTGTTGTTGTGCGCTCTCTGTGCCATAAGCTGCCGACTGATAAGACAGTCTCTTCATTGCAATTCAAATAAAATGAACTGACGAACGGCTAAGCTGTCGAGGCGCAGCAATCCGATTTATGTGAAAGAAAGAATAGTAAAACAAAAGAAAAGAAAAGAAAAGCAAAAACTCTAAAAAAAAAACGAAAAATCAGAAAAAAAGAACAAATATTTATACAAAAGAAATCTCAGCCGATTCAGAAGAAAAATATGTAAAAGCCAAATATAATAAAAACTCAAAAAAATGTATTAAATCTCTTTTTTGTTTCTACCGTTCGTTATCTTCCCGCCGAGCAGCAGCGCGCCTTTTTCTCCTATTACTGGCTATATTTTGTAACGAAGTGATTGGAAATGTAAAAGCTACTCAATGTCTCTTCAGTTTCTTTCCCTTTTCTCTTCTAGCTTTAGGCACAAAAAAAATTTAAAAAATAAAGAAATAAAAAAAATTT